CCCGCCGACTCCTCGCAGCCACATGTCCAATGTCTGTCTCTATGAATGAGCCCGTTCTAACTACAGTTGGAGTGAATTTTTGCACAGCGTGTGAGGCTTAGGTCACGGTGCGTAGTGTTGCCCGTGGACGTCCCGTGCTCAGCTCCGTTTATTGAAGAGACGGCCCCTTCCCCCACTGGAGTGCTTTGTTACCGTCGTCAGAAATCACTGGGGGCAGATTTGTGTGGGTCCCATTTCTGGGAGCTTTGTTAGGCTCCATCGATGTCTGACCTATCCCTCCACAACGTCATGCGATCCTGACTCTGTCGCTCTATGGGAAGGTTTTACAGCTACTCTCCTTTTTTGCAGGATGGTTGTTAACGAGGTTCTTTGTCTTTCCATATAAATTTTTAGAATAATCTTGTCCGTGTCTGCAAAACACCTTGCTGGGGCTTTAATGGAAATTGTGCTAAATCCATAGCTCAGTGTGGGAGCGGGGGGTATCTTTATTGGCTGAGTCTTCCAATCTATGAACATGACACGTCTCTCCACGTATTTAGGGCTTTGGTTTCTGTCCTTGGCATTTCGGAAGACACACCGTATAGACCTTGTACACGCTTTGTTGAACTCACACCCTAGCGTCTCCTCTTTTGGGGTGCTTACAAGGAGTATGGGATTTTAAAGTTCGGTTTCCTCACATTTGCTTCTAATATACATAATATTTACAACACGTATTATAAATACACCAGTGATTCGTGAGGAAGGCAGGTCTGTAGCCCTCTGGGGCGTCCTCGCTGGGCTTCTGTGTCGGGGCCGTGCTCCCCTTGGGAAGGGCCTGTCCCCACCAGGCAGGTTGGTGTTAAGGCCGCGGCTGTCCCTCCCATGAGGTTTGCTCAAACTCACCACGGAAGCCATCCAGGCCAGACCTCTCCAGGAAGGCTTTTAATGAAGGGTTCCGTTAAGACTTCTAATGGTTCCTATTTTGTTTCTTGTGTCAGTTTTGGTAAGTTTTTGTGTTTATTTTACTTGTGTTTATTTTATATTTTTGAGAGAGAGAGAGAGAAAGAGTGTGGAGGAGGGAGGGAGAGAGAGAGAGAGAGAGAGAGAGAGAGAATCCCAAGCAGGCTCCGTGCTTAGCACAGAGCCGACGTGGGGCTTGATACGACTCTGGGATCATGACCTCAACTGAGATCAAGAGTCAGACACTCAACCGACTGAGCCCCCCAGGAGCCCCAGTTGACTTTCTAATGTTGAGCCAACCTTGTGTAGGTAGAAGCAATCCCACTGGGTTATGGTGCTTAGTGATTTTTACACATTGTTGGATTTGATTTGTTAAAATTTTGTTGAGAATTCTTGCATCTAAATTCAAGAGAGATACTGGTCTGTAGTTTTCTTGTTTTCTGCTGTCTTTGGTTTTGAGAACCAGGAAATTCTGGCCTCAAAAATCTGTCAGAGAATGCTGCCCCTTCTTTGGTTTTCCAGAAGAGTTTGAGACGAATTAGTGTTCATTGTTCCTTAAATTATTGATAGAATTCTCCAGGGAAAGTGGAAGTTTACTTTTTGGTTACGAATTTGACCTGCTTGAATGGCTGTAGGACTGTTCAGATTGTCTTTTTCATCTTGGTTGAGTTTTGGTGGTGTGGGCTTTCTTTTTTTTTTAATGTTTATTTTTGAGAGAGACAGAGACAGAGACAGAGAGACAGAGCAGGAGTGGAGGGGGAGTTGAGCAAGAAGGACACACAGAATCCGAAGCAGGCTCCAGGCTCCGAGCTGTCAGCACAGAGCCCAACGTGGGGCTCCAACGGATGAACTGTGAGATCGTGACCTAAGCTGAAGCTGGACACTTAACGACTGAGCCCCCCAGGTGCCCCTGGTAGTGTGTGCTTTTCAAGGAGCCGGTCCATTTCTTCCAAGGTGTCGAAGGTATGAGCGAGAAGTTTTCTGTAATATTCCTTGATGACGTCTGTAAGGGCCCCGGGGTCTGATGTTGGCAGTTTCGGTCTTCTCTCGTCTTCGTTGTGTCAGTCTTGCTAAAGGCTTATCAATTTTACAATAATAAACTTTTATGCGAAAAGTAACAATGCTGAAATATGTCAGGCAAACGTGGCTTGAAAAAAATGTGAAAATGGACAGATACAGTGGCAGTGGCTACACTTTAGCACACTTTCCTGAATTTTTGACTAATCAAATTAGCAAAAAAAAAAAAAAAATAGAGAGGAACTGAGAAATGTCATTAATTAAATTAATTAAGTAGGTCTAAATTTAAACTCTGTTCCCCACACTCAGGAAACAGGTTCTTTTCAAGTTCCCTTGTCGTAAGTACTAAAACAAATCACTCTTTAGGCGACGCAGAATGCCTCCTCGGGGAGGGTGACCAGCTGGTCCCGGTTTGCCCGGCACTACAGGTCTCGCGTCCTGGGAAGCCCCTCGGTGCCAGGACAGCCGGGACGGGTGGATGCCTCAGACGTTACCCAGGCAGGACTCACAGACCACAGTATAAATGATTCACAATTAAAGCGTTGTCCCAATTCCCAGATAGAATTTAAGACATAACCTAACTGACAAAACGGAAGCCAAGACTGCCGTCACAAAACGTCTAAACGCTAACATAATGAAATCTCTACATGTTTGCACTTAAGGTCTTGGCCGTTGGTAAACCCGGGAGGAAGGGCGTCCAGATCAAGGTGAGAAGACACCCGTGGCCAGGTGTCACATGGGAGTGCCACATCAGCCCTATACCCCAAAACCACGTCACGCTGCACATTAAGTAACTGGAATTTAACTCGAATATAAAGAAAACAACCCAGAGGAAGTACGCGAAATAAAGATAAAGCAAGAGAACCCAGAAAGAGAGGAAGGTCGGCTGCCCCCACGGTGGCCGTGAGGACGACGGGCCAGAGAGAACGCTGGAGACCACATCCAGCTTCCCCTGCGCTTGGGCTGAGTACGGGGCACAGAGACCCACGGGCCGCCCCCCCCCCCCCCTAGGAGGCGGGGGTCACAGTTGATTTACTCGGGTGCCAAAAAGGGGAAAGTCCCCTTATTTCCTCCCTTGTTTTTTTTGGGGGGGGGGGGGGGGGGGACAGTGTTCGTTACTTTACAACTTTTTGTTCTGAAATTATTTCAAACCTACAGAAAACGTGGAGGAATGACATAAGGAACGTCCCTTCCCCTTTCGCCCGGTTTCCTCAACTGGTATCGTTTTACTGCGTTTCATCGCTTTCTGCCCACGCGGACACACGTTTCCAAACGCTGGGAGTAAGTTGCAGACGCGACGCCGCTCGACCCCTCAATACTTGCGCGCAACCCCAGCAGCGCTGTGATGTGGAAACCTTGCACCGTAAGCCCGCGAAACTGTCCTGGCGGGCACAAAATAAGGCTCGGAGACTCACGTCGACGTTCGAGAAGAGCCGGCCCGCGCCATCGCGCACGCGGGGGCACAGGTGCGTGCAGGCAGGTGCCCTCGGCCCGCGGACGCGGTGGCGCTCAGCTCTTCCCCGCTCCGCACTCAGAGACGTCTGCCACCCGGGGAGGACTTCACGCCACGGAGGCCGGCACACGCCGGCAGGCAGCGTTTTGGGGTGCCGCCGCGGCAGAACAGCTCGCATGCGCGCACACGCCCCACCCAGGGGGCGTGCCCGAGTCAGGCTGTGGGCGCCTTGTCTCCCGGCGGCGGCCCCCCTGGGGAACAAAGGTCGGGAGGACTGGCTACAGGTAAAGGCCACCTGGTGGGGGCCTGGAACGCGGCAAGCGCCCCACAGACGGGCCGTCATCGTTTCAGGGGTCGGTGCTGCGGGCCCCCAGGCAGCCACGTGGAGGCCTCCACGGAGGGCGGAGGGCAGCTCCGCCCCCCCCTCCCCCACCGGTGCCACGGCTGGGGCAGTGAGGGCGGAGGAGCCCCCTGTGTGTGGGGACCGGCCACCCTGTCTGGGAGCACAGCCTCCCCTGACTCTTCAGGCAACACCTGCCGCCCGTTCTCCAGCCGGGGGGGACAGAGGCCCTGCCCCCACGGGGCTGCCATTGAGTGGGGGACAATCGGCGAAGACAGCCAGTAGACAGACTGCAGGAGGGCAGCATTACAGTGAAAGCGAAGCAGCTCCGGAGGCGTGGGCCTGGCCACGTGGGAGGTGCACTCTGGGAAGCCCTCCCTGCAAACTTGGCACTGGTGCGGAGACCGGGAGGAGTGAGGGGGCGAGCCATGTGGATCCCTGGAGGAAGAGTCTTCCGGGCTGCTAGAACCGCATGTGCAAAGGCCCCGGGGCAGCAGCTGGCAGCATGTGTTCCAGGAAGGCCGGAAAGCAGATGACATCGGTCTCTACCGCTTCCTGTCGTTGACATCTCCTCAACTTTTCCAGGGCAAACCAGGACACCAATGAACACAAGCGCTCCCGTCCTGCCTGGGTGGGAAAGACGGGGGCATCCCGAGGCTCTGGGGGAGCCGTACCTCACCAGCACCTCACCCCGCACGTCGCTGCTCACCCAGGGGCCCCTCCCGCCCACTCACCCGCTGAGGCACACACCACCTCCGTGGCGTGCCCCCTCGTGGGTCCACACACACTCAGACCACGTGCTCCCACGGTCCACAAGCCCACCCGACACTCAAATGTAAAAACAGCGTGCTTCACCCACACTAGCAACTGCTCACACCTTTGTATCCAGTGCTCCCCTGAGGCCTCACCCAGCCTGTGAGCACATTATCCACTGGGGAAACTGAGGCACGCAAGGTCACAGAAGGTGAAAGTCTGCACCTTGGGGAAGCTGGGTCTGGACCAAGGCCGGCGGCTGACACGTCTCTGCACGTGGGATCACCAGACAGCACCCCCACCCCCGCCTCCTGGTTCCGTCCACAGCACAGCCCCAGACTGGGTGACCCGCAGACGCGAGGCTGTGCAGGGAGCAGCAGGCAAGCCAGGGTGCCCTGGGAGTGGCCCTCCGGCAGGTGAACCACCATAAACCCCGCGGCCCAGACAGCGCCAGGTGGCGCCCGGCCAGGGTCCTGGGGGCCAAGGGAGGCAGGTGTGACCCAGCCATTCACCGACCCGCTCTGGCTGGAGAGGCTGGGGTGACAGGGACTGAAGGCACGCACCAGGCCACTCAGGCAGCTGCTGCGGCCGGCCCGCCAGGAGCCAGCCCCCAGTGATGGATGAGGCGCTGGCCCAGCCAGGGTCCCCCGACTCAGCCCATCCATCAGGGTGACAGCCGGAGCCCCAGGAGAGCTTGGGGTGGGGAGGCATGGCGTGAGCCTCCGCAGCTGTGCACACAGGCACCCTGAGGAGGCGGGGCTCGGGGTCACTCTGGCTGTGGCCGCGGGTCGGCCTTCCCGACGGCCTTCCCTCCCCGGCCCTGCCCTGCGCAGGGCCAGTCCCTGCCCCGTGCCACAGGCCTGGTCTTACATCCATACCTGTCCCCGCAAGCTCGTCTCATTTCATTTTCGGAGGCTGTTCTGGACCCTCCTGATCTTCCCTCCTACAGGGACTGAGAAAGGGACGTTCGTAGACCGGCCACGGGCCTGGATCCCACAACCACACCCAGCATGCAGGTGTCACCTGGCTGGGCAACACGGCAGCTGCCACGGTGGCCACAGATGCCAGGTCCCACAGCCTGGGGGATGCGCCCCACCCCCATCACATCACACGCTGGAGGGGAAACGCGGCAGGGAGCAGAGCCCGGCGGGTGAGGGGCTGTGCCCTCATCCGTGGGGTGTGGGACTGGAGTGGGGTGCCTGCCATGCCCGGCGTGGGTGCCGGGGATGGAGCGCGGAGTCAGGCCCTGCTCCACGTGGAAGGACGCTGAGGCGCCCTGCAAGGAGGAAACAAGGAGCCCCGAAAAAGGGCAGGAAGGTCTGATGCAGACCGCGGCGTGGACGAGCCTTGCAAAGGCCGTGCCACAGAGAAGCCACGAATCCAACACTCTGCGACGTGAACCACCCGGAGCCGGCAAATCCAGACGGAAGGCGGGCCGGCGGGCTGGGGCTGGGGCGGGCCTCCGCGTGCGGGGACGGAAGTGTCTGGAACAGGTAGAGGCGGTGGCCTGAGCTGCGCACTTTCCTGTCGCTTCAAGGGCCACTGGTGCGTTATGTGGATTTTTCCATTAAAAACACAGGTGTGGCCAGGGAAGGCCCCTAAGGAGGCAGGCGAGCAAGCCTCCAATGCGCAGGGGGCGCCGGACGGGAGGGGAGCGGGAACTGCTGGCACCTCGGCAGAGGCTGCTAGAATCTTCCGGAAGCGGCCAGAAGGTGTGTGGAGGACAGCCGAGTGAGCGCAAGGAGGCAGCAGGAGGGCAGGGCTTCAGGGGCCGTTCCTTCCAGAACCTCTTGCAGCCCGGGCCCTGTGGAGAGGGAGACCCAGAGCCTGGAGATCAGAGGCTGCCCTCGAGTCACCAGGAGCAACCCGGGGCGGGGTGGGGCACTGCCCTGGGGGAGTAAAGAAAGCGGTGATCTGAGAGAGGCGCCATGTGAGGGGGTGAGGACCTGAGGGGGGTGACGACCCGAGGGGGTGATGTGCTCACGCTGGGCTTGACGGGCTGTGAGGAGAGGGCAAGAGACCAGAGCAGCCACCAGAGCCGGAGTCGCAGGCAGGGGCCTTGTCCCACCACGAGCAGAGCTTTAGGCAGGGAGGTTCCGGAGGGAGAGAGGTCTCCGGGCGGAGCCTGCACCGGAGGTGACCGGGCCTCCACCTGGCGTCTTGCAGTGGCCCTTCCTCCTTGTCCGTCCGGAGAGCGAAGGTGTGGAAGTCGTCAATCGAGTCCTTAAATCAGCGGTGAGAAAAAGGAGACACAGAGAAGCAGGGCGGGGCCCAAAGACACGGCTTAAGGGAGGCTTCTCGAGGACGGGTGGCCGTCGGCCCAGACGGGCACTCAGGCCTCAGCGGAGCGCGTCTGCGTGACCTCGGCCCCGAGCAGCCACCGGAGCCGGGCCAGAGGCTCCCCTCCCTCCGGGCCGCTTGCTGGCCGCCAACCCCGTGGGCCGTGGGGACGGAAGGGGCCCCGCGTCCACGGCCCCCTCTTGGCTAGAGGCCGGCCCATCTCGCGCACCGAGGGCCCCGCTCCCACGAGGCCAGGCGCGCCCACCCGGCGCCTTCCCTGCGGCCCGGCCCGTGGTGGACTGCGGGCTTGGGGAGGCCAGGCCCTTGGCCGTCTAGCTGGCAGCCGGCGCTCGGCAAGCAGCTCCCCTCGGGGACAGGCCGGGGCCATGTGTGGCCAAGAGGGGCGCCCGGTCAGGAGAACCCCCTGGGCGGACAGGAGTTCCGTGGGAGGGAGGTGGCGGGGAGGGGGGGGGCTCGAGCCCGGGCCCGGCTTCCGCGCTGGCGCAGCTCTGCTCGCTTCCGGCTTTCTTGGCTGGGGCTGCTCCCCGACAGAAGGGATGCGTGTTGTCAGGGGCGGGGGGCTCGGCGTGTGTGCGTGTGCGAGAGTGTGTGTGTGTGTGTGTGTGTGTGTGTGTGTTTAAAATACAAGAAAAGCCGCAGCGGCCGCCTGGCGACACTCGGCTGCGGGAGGCTGGCCGGGCTCCGTCCCTGCCGGTGCCTCCGCGCTGGCACCGTGGGGGCCAGGAGGGAAGGGGACGTGGACGCTTGCCACGAACGGGCGGCGGGCCGGGGCGCCTCCCGGGGACCGGTGGGCACGGGGGCCGGACTGGCAAACAAAACCCACCGCAAATCGCTGGCAGCCGCCGGGCAGAGGAGGGACGGAGGACTCGGCGGGGAGCAGGCGGACGGAGGCGGCCGCACAGGTAACGACGTGCGGGGTTCACGGGTGGGTGGCCGGCTCTCGGCGTGGACACGGGTCGCGTGGCCGGGCAGCTTGCAGGAGGCAGCGCGGGTGACCCCCTCAGCCCTGTCTCCCCCGCCGCCCCGAGGGCCTGCGGTTTCAGATGCAGCGGCCGAGTTGTCTGTTCCGGTGGCAGGGATCTCTCCCTGCACCGAGGAATAAGGCTGGGCAGGCGGGCTGGGCGGCGTGGGGGCTTGAGGGGACAGCCCAGGGTCCCCAGCGAGGCCGTGCTTCTGGCCGCAGGGCTCGGGCCCCTCCCGCTGGGATCCTGCTGGCTCTCAGGGCCAGGTCCACTCTGCGCCATTTTTGGAAGGTGTCCCCAAACGTCCTTGGGTGTCTGCTGTTTCCTCTTGAAGGCCAACCCAGGCGCTTAGCAGGGGTAGGGAGGATGGGTGGAGGGACACGCCTGGAGGAGCCGCGAGGCCCCAAGAGGAGCGTGTCTACGTCCCTCCCTCCCGTCCAGAGCCCCACAGGCTGTCTTGGCACCACGGTGTCTGTGGTGGGACCGCAGCCAAACGTGCCCATCAGAGGAGCCTGGGGGGGGGGGTGCCAAGGAGCCCAGCTGCCAAGGGCACAGGGCGGGGGGGTGGGGAGGGGGGGGTGGCGAGCTGCCTGGTGGGGACAGCCATGCGTGCTGAGCAGAAGGGGCCAGGGCAGCGGGCGGGTGCCTGGCCAGCCCTCCTGGGCAGGGGGGCGGGGGAAGGAGACAGTGCACCCTCCCCCTCCCGTCTCCAGGTACATCTGGGGCACAGGGGCAGGCAGGACGCACCCCCCGCCGCTGCAGGGGCTCTGAACCAGACGCCGTCCTGTGGGGTGCTCAGAGCAGCCGGTGCGGACCCAGAAAGAAGACGCCACACAGGAGGCCTGGGCACGTGCTGGGCGGGGTGTGAGTGGACACTCTGCAGGGCCTGTGCCCTGCGCAGGGGTGGGGCCCAGCTCTGCCGAGTCAGGAGGAGCTCGGGCTGCAGGAGTGGGAGAAGCTGAGTGCAGAGCCTGAATGGGGCTACACAGCCTTGCCCTTGGAGGGCAGCAAGGGTCTGGGCTCAGATGCAGGGACATGGGGGGCGGGTACCCCGTGCAGGAACCCAAGGGATGTGGGACCTGGAGTCAAGTTGGTGCACACAGAATGCTTCAGGCAGGGCTCAGACCCCTGCAGACACTCGAGCGGAGGGCAGGGGCTGGCCGTGGGGGTGAAGGGGCCCCAGAACCAGGGCTGGCGGTGTGCCAGCTGGGATTGAGTCTGGGGTCTGCCCCTTGGCAGGGTGGCCCACAGTCTCCAAGCCTCAACGTGGGTGGTTGTGGGCAGCCCCCCTCAGCAGGCAGGCGGGTGTGGACCAATCCTGCAGAAAGAGCGTTCCCACATCTTCTGGGACCACAGCCTGGCGCTCGTGCAGGTCTGCTTGGGACTCTGAAGGCTAGGTTGGGGGGTCATTCCGTCCCCAGCCCCCAGGGCTCTCCAGTGATGGCCCCGACCCCCCTACCTGCAGGGCAGGTGCTGGTCTGGCCCAGGTGATCCCTGGTCTGAGGGCTCAGCAGGGAATGTGGGAAACCAACTGCCCCCGACAATGAGATGCCGGGACCCTGCCCACAACCGCCTCATCCCAGTGGCCACGGGCCTGGGCTGGGTAGGGCGGGCAGCGGGAGCAGCGCGGTGGAGGTTGAAGAAGAATCAGGCCAGGATGTCCGCCAACACGTGGGCAGGTCTGTCCATGAAAGCAGGGTGGGTGGCAGGGAGAGCCGGAGGGACCGTGGGGTGGCCAGACTTGAGCCGCCCTCGGCAGTAGAGGCCAGCACCTCCACTCACCGCTCCCGGCCCCTCTGCCTCCAAATTTCACAGCCCAGCTTCCTGCACGGGCTCCCAGCTCCCCGGAGACCCCCGCCAGATGTTCCTGGTGGTCACCACACCGCATCCATAATGAAACGTTCGTGGAGCCTTCCTGCCTCTCAACAGAGAAGCCTCTGGGGCTCCCCACAGCAGGGAGAGTGAGCCGGGGCACCCAGCCTCCCAGAAGGGTCCCGGGCGTGAGCAGGTGCCTGCTCAGGAGAGGGGTCTACGGCTCCCTTCGGTCATTTGCTCCGGTGTCTCATGGCTCCTGACCCTGAGCCGACCGCAGCCCTTTCTGTCACCTGCTGGAAGTCGGTCGGTCATCTGCCCGTCCAGTCACCGTCAGCTGAAACCTGTACGCTGCGTTCTGCACACAGAGCTCGGGCTTCACGATGTCTAGCAAAACAAACCGGACTCCCTGCTCTGGGCCACACACACGTGACGCCCCCCACACGCTGGCCCCACGGGGCATCCCCCAGGCCCTTGCAGGGCGCACGCAGCTGCGCCCACCATCTCCAGCCTCCGAGGGGCCAGCCTTGTGCCCTCACCGGTCTCCCCGCAGGTCCCTGAACTGCAACGGACCCGGGTGGAGCCAGCTGCCTGAGGGGGTCACTTCTCCAGCCCCCAGGCCCCCAGCCCCTGCAAACTGCTCACCCAGGCGAGGCAGGGGCTCCATGGGCCCACATTTCGCCTGGAGGGAGGCGGGCTGCGGCACCGCCCCGACTCCCGGCTCCCCTGCAGCGTTCCATGCTTCAGGGCTGGGGCTCTGGGCCAGGGCCCTCGGGGTGGCTGCCTGGGGAGCTCCGGGCAGTCAGACGCTCCCTAACGGCCCTGAAGCTGGCTGCCTGCTCCCTGCTGTCTGTCCTGGCCCTTCAGCACCTCTGTCCACACTCAGGGAGCCCCCCTCCTCTCCCCAGATCAGGCTCCAGGCATTCCAGTGTGCTCTACAACCCGCGGGGAGTGTGTCCTCACTGCTGGGTTGTTGGATAAGGCCGTGGGGCTGGAGGACAGGAGGGCAGGGGGTGTCCAGACCAGCTGCACTAGGTGGGGGCGGGGGCAGAGGCGTGTGGGAGGGGCTGCCTGCTGTGTGGTCTCTCCAGGCGCATCTGTAAAAGAGGATGATGCTTCCAGCCACACTCGAGTTCACAGACACGGTGCCTGGCCCAAATCACCCCAGGAAATACGGCTGGTGCCGACCAGGCTCCATTTAGCCAAAGCTGGCAACTGCTATCAGCTACCCGGGGTCTGGACGACCCCTCTGCCACATCTTCCCCAGGGGCCCCCTCACGGGGGACTAGGGGGCCCAGGGGCCCAATGCAACCTTCTAGTCCACAGACCTTTATGAAGAAAGCGTCAGTACCTGGTTGTGCTGTTAGGAGGGATAGGGGCTTGGGACCCTAGAAAGCCCCTGGTTGGGGGCCCGGGGTGCTGTGTGAGCCCCCAAGCACGGCCTCACTCTGCACCCCACACCTGGAGGTACAGAACATACCCCTCAAATGCAGGAGGCTCAGGGAGGAGGGACAGTGTGGCAGGGTTCCGCCTGGAGGGGTCCTTGTGCTCCCGGCCTAAGGGTCTAAGGAGAAGTCGGCCTATGGCAGGTCTTTAACAAAATCCTCTGCCTTCCTGCATTTGGTGCCTCTGCTCAGGGAGGGCTGGGGGGCGACAAATGGCTCCCCTGAGATCCCCACTGAGATCCCCACAGGGTGCAAGGAAGCACAGTCATGTGAGGGGTCTGCCGGGCCCCAAGCTCGGGTCTGCAGGTGGCAGCTACGGGGAGGCTGTGCCCACCAGGGCCCGAGTCCTGCCCCCGGGGCTTTCCTGGGCAACATGTGTCCCTCATGCTCTCGGGGTCCCCGCTTGGGAGACTCTGCCCATGGGCCTCCCCTCCCCCACTCTGCCTACCTACAGAGGAGGGTCCGGCCTGGGACTCCACGTCAGAGCCATAGCCCCCTGTCCTGGCCTCTGGACTGAACCCTGGTGGACTGAACTGCCTGCGATGCAGAGAACCCTCACCTCTGGGAGCAGGGAAACACTTGGTGACGGTGCCATTAACGGAGCCAAGCCTTAGCTGTGCCCAGGGCGTCTTGTCCAATTGCTGGGGAGGCAGGCACGGGGACTCAGAGAGAGGTCAAATCACCGCCCCAAGGCCATGGAGCTGCAGGTGCAGAAAGGAGCTGCCACAACGGCAGGCCCAGAGCCCTGCGCGTGGCCACCAGGATGGGCAGAGGGGTCCTTCAAGGTCACGGTCCACGGGTCCGGTGCCGGTGCCCTCCCCCGCGCAGGCGATGGGCTTGGGCCAGGGTGGCGGGGGCTGCGGGGTGCAGTCAGAGGAACCAGAGGGGCCACATCCCCTTCCGCTCCCCAGCCGCGGCCACCTTCCTCCCCTCGCTGCCGGCGAGGTGATACGCTATGCGTGTAGCGTCGGAATAACACACGTTCGGCAGAACAAATAGTGTTAATTTGCGGTGGGGGCAGCAGCTGCGCCAGAATTAACAACCGCGTGTGGAGGATCAGTGGGGCCATGCGTCACCGTCAGAGGGACAAGCCCCGACGAGGGGCGGCCTCACATCTCCTGGGAGGCGGCTGTTTCCGGGAACCTCTCCCCTCCCGAGACCCCTGCCCAGAGTGCCCCGTGCCCATCGCCGAGCCCACCCAACAGTGCCGCCCAGGTCGGGAGTGGGGTCAGGCACGGCCTCCGTCCGCACCTCCAGGAGTCCAGGCCGCATGTGGTGGGGCGGGTGGCTCGGCCCTGTTTCAGACACTGGCTCACCGGCCGGGCCCCCCAGATACAGCCGGGGCCAGACCGCGTCGGACCTCGTTCTCAGCTCCCTCTCCCTGAGCCCTCCATGGACGCCCCACCTCTGCTCCGTCCGTCCTTCTTCAAGAGCCTCCCCAGCGCGAGCCTAATCAATCCGCCTGTCTACTTACTGCTATTCATTACCCGCTGTCCGCTGCTCGGAGCCTGGGGTCCCTATTGATCGGCAGAGATGTTGGCGGCTCCGAGATGCACCGCTTCTCCCAGGCGACTTGCCTTCCTCGGCCGCCCGTCCCTGCGGCTCACGAGAGCCTGCCCTGGGTGTCGGGGAAGGCTGCCATCACACATCCCTGCCCCACCGCACCCCGTGCAGATTTAACGTCCTCCATCCATCCTTGTCGCTGCTGGGGGGCCACGTGCGCTTGTGCACCTTCCTGATCCTTCCAGCTCTGGGAATCTGGGCTGTTCCCCGGGAGGGGCAGAAAGAGGCAGGTGTGGGGGAGGGGGAGGGCCTGGGGGCCTGCTGCTGCTCCTCGCCAGCCCGAGGGGCCCAGGATCTTCCCACCGTGCTTTCTCTAGCCCCGGCCTCCCCCTCCCCTGTGGGGAGGAGGGTTCTTCGGGATTTGTATGTCTGCTCTCAGGGGCCTGCTGCTGAGGTCAGTGCTGGGCGCTAGAGCCTTCAGGGAATGCCTGAGGACGTGGCTTGACCCAAGCCACAGCCCTGGGCCCAGGACCCAGGGCGTGCACTGCCCAGTCCTGTGTCCTCCAGAGCCTGGGTCACACCTCTGATTGCAGGTGAGGAAACTCAGAGCGGGGATGGTCTTTCTCCTCTGACCCTGGAGCACCCAGGGCCTCAGGGCCTCGGGTAGCCTGCCGGCCTGTCTCCACTGTAAGTTGCCAGGCTGGGCCACCCAGCCACCCATCTGACTGCTTCAGGGTCCTTATAACCTCCCGGGAGAGGCGAGGGTCTCTAGTCATTGGAGCCCCTCACCCAGGGGCGTCCTGCCACTCTGGCTCGTCAGCAGACGTTCCAGGGCGAGGGCTTGCCAGGGGCTTGGACAAGTCGGGGCACGCTGTCAGCCTCCGGGAAATCGAGCCCCACACCCAACACATACAGGTGCAGAGCAGAAGTGGCCCCAGGAGTTCGGGGAAGGAACAGCGGCCCCGGGGGGCCCCTGGGAGCAAAGGCTGGTGGGGGCAGTGGGGGGAGGCTGCAAGGACGGGCCAGACCTCGCGGGCGGGGGGAGGAAGCAGCCCTTCGAGAAGAGGACAGAGGTGTGGCCCCTGTTCACCTCCTGAACCCATCTGCTTCCGGCTGACTCTGTTCACCCCTGGCCCCAGGCGGCCTCCAGGCCCTCTTGTCTCCTGTTGTACGAATTCCTACTTTGCAGAAAAAAACATCTTTCCGGGATGAGATTCAGCCTACAACCACAACACATAGGACGGTTTGTGAGTATTGCTCTGCTGCGAGAGGGGTGGAGGTGATGTTGCCACAATCACCCCTGCCCGTCCTGCATGGAGGCCTCTCCCTGCAGCGAGAGGGCTTGTCCACCACAGCCTGGACCTCGCTGTCCCACACCCGGCCCGGCTCCCGATGGCAGCCATCACCGCAGCCCCCCACTCACAGTCCCGACCGCGGGATCCTGGGGGGCGTGTTTGCAGGGTGGGTTGTGGGTTTGGCTAATGGGGAAGAGGGGCGGTGTGCAGGGTCTCTCCTCTCCCCTTTCCCCTGCCTGGGGCCAGGAGGTGCAGAGGGTGCTAGTCCCCGCACCTCTTCCTGAGCCCGGGTGGCCGCGGTCACTGCCGGGTCACATCTGTGGGGCACACGCGAGCGGCTCCAGATGCACAGAAGGGCTGCACGCACACACGTCAGTTTCCTCCGGCGCCCTCTTGGCGCCAGAAGCCGCCTGTTCGTTTGAATGCATAATTAGCCCGAGCATTCTACCTCGCTAATTTCGAGGCAGGGGAAGGGAGTGGAGGGGTGCAGGAATTTGCATATTAATTTAGCCGAGGGAGAGAAAATTGTTTACCACTTCCTCCTCGCAGAGGACTTAACTCTTTCCTGTTTGCTGTCTGGAGCCGTGTGGGAGGGCCCGCGTGGGGCACAGCCAGCCCGCCCCAAGGCCCGAGTCCTCGGGGCCAGGCCGCCCGTACAGGGGGCCTCAGGGGCCCGACAGTGCAGGGACGGGTGCTCCTGGGGGTCTGCTAATGACCCCCACCTCCAATCTTCAGGAACTGGAGATACCTGGGCCTTTTAGCCGCCCCTTGTCTCCATCCATTTGGTCATTTAGGCTACAGCCTCCACGGCACACCAGATCCCGTGTCAGCACAGCGCTGGGGGCCGCGGTGGGTACGTGTGGCTGCCTCCCCACCAGGGTGGCAAGTCTGCACTCACTTCGGCAGAGGAAAGCTACAGAGAGCCCTCCAATGTCAGAGGGAAGACGAGCTTTCACAGGAGTGGTCAAGGCAGGCTTCCTGGAGGAGGTGGCATCTGCCGTGGGCTCTGGAGGAGAAGGCTTTTCACAGGCAGAGGAGGACGTCCCTCCAAGTGATGGAGCTTGTGACAGTAAGGGCCAAGGGGGCAGGAGGCACTCTGGAGACGTTTGGGGAGCTGGGTCCTCTGTTCTGGTCAGATTCAGGGCTTGTGAGATCTCAGAAAGGCCCTGATGAAGGCAGAGCGAGGCCAGTGCCCTGCACTTGACCGCGTCACCATGTAACTGAGCCTTCATCTTGCTGTGAGGACACTAACGACTCCACAGGTGGTTGCGGGCTGGAGTGGGGACGCCCGGCGCCCCCAGCACGGTCCTGTCTTCAGCAACACTGCTGCACGCTGTGGCTGAAATCCCCACGCAAAGGACAGCAGGGCATCCGCTTGGAAAAGTCTGGAACATCGAAGTGACCAGGCAGCTCCAGTTTCCCCAGAGACCATGTTTAACGGGGGAGACTTGTAGGCAAAGGCCTCATCTTCAGTGTGGCAGGGACAGGGGCACACAGCCGGTCCCTGTCCCCCAGCCCCATGAGCACCAGACGAGTAGCCACGAATTGCCCGGGCCACACCTGCCCCACACTGCAAACCTGGGTGAGGGCGGCCCACTGCCACGCCCGACGGCAGCTAGGAGCACAGCTGCACGAGGGCATCGCCCGGCATCTCCTAAAGTGCACAGACGCCACCTGAACCGCAGCTTTGGAATTAGGACGGAGGGCCCTAATCCCGGCCAGGCCCGGGCCCTTCTCAGAGACTCTGTTTCTCTGCACCACAATAGGCCTGGCCTCATCCGGAGCCAGGGCAGACATCACTGATCGATCACAGCGCCTCCCCCACGACCCACAGGAACTCCGGGGAGCCACCGTCTGCCAGCTGTTTCCTCCTGGAGTAGATAAGCTCCAGGGTGCTCCTACCAGGGGTGATCTACACCCCACACGCAGGGGTGTAGACTCCTCGAGAAGTCACGTGGCTGCCAGCACGGAGGAGAACTGGGCCGCGGACCCAGGAACAGCCTGCTCCCGCCAAGCTTTCTCGCAGCCGCCAAGACCCGCGGCAGCTGGTGAGTGGTGCACTCGCTGGGCTGCGCCTGGATGGCTGGCCACCCACACCAGATGGGAGATCTTGCTTCCCGGCTCAGTAGGGCACCAGGACCAAGAACACGGGCCTTGCGGTCACAGAGACTTGGGTCCTGGAAGGGCTGCGCTCTGCAGCTGGCCATCCTGTGGCCTGGAGGAGATACCCCGGGGGGATTGTGTACCGTGCCTAACAAGGTGGGTGCCAGCGGGCAGTGACGCACATGCTCCACCACAGAAGCCCACGATGACCAGAGCTGCACAGCCACAGGCCGTGACGATGACCACAGGGACGTGCCCCTCAGCACAGGAGGCCCGAAGACACAGGGTGTGGTGAGGTTAGGGAGGGACAGCGGTAGCAGGATCAGGGACACGATGACATCCAGAAGCAGACCCGCTGGCTGTAGGAAGAGGGTCTGGCGAAGGAGGGCGGCCCCGGAGCACCCACCGTGCGGCCCGCAGGTGACGAGACACCCTCAGAGCCAGTGCAGGTGAGTCAGGGCCTGGACAAGTGCTCGGTTCCCCAACGCAGCCAGGCCCCTCACCATGGACTCCTCTGCTGGAGGGGGCTGGGGGGCTCTCACCCCACTCAGGAGAGCCGTCAGGACGTGGCTGTGATGGAGGGGGGTGCACAACCGGTGCAGAGCGGCTCGGCTCTCCAGGTACCACCCTGTGGGGACTCAGCCTGGCAGCTGGGGCTGGAGGGGGGTAGCTCCAGGAAACTCAGGAAAGACACCCCACTGCCGCACCCCTTCTCACCCAGGCCGTCCACCACCAGCCCTCCTCCCAGGGAGTTGAGAGGAGGGGCCGCCTTCTGTGTGGGGGTGGGGCTGCTGGAGGGCTCCTGTCTGCAGGGCGAGGCCCGAGGACCCCGCGGTACAGCCCACAGGGCTTCTCAGGGTGGCCTCGAGACACCTGCTGAGAATGCAGATCCCTGGGCCCACCCAGGCCCAGTGAACCCAAAACCACCCTCCAGGGTCCTACTGGCTGATCGCTGGGGCCCTCCCAAGGCCCTTGCCCGGCCAGGGTCCAAGAGGCTCCCTGTCCTGCACGTGTCCCTTCAGGGAGCCTGGCAGACAGAACAGCAAGGCGCTCGGGGGCTGAGCCACGCAGGGCTGAGGGGCGTGGCTGGGGGCGGGGGGCTGGCAGAGCACAGACCCTGAGCATGTGGACGCGGAGCAGCTGGGTGGGGGGGCTGTGGCTGGGTTGCCCCTGGCCCCCGAGAGACCGAACCCAGTCACTGGGGTCTACCCAGCGGTGGGGCGGGTGCCCTGGGAGGGCGGGAACAGCTTGCTCGGGCCCCTGCTGTCTCCGCTCATGCGAGTGAGCCCGGATGGCTCCTTTGTTTGGCTCCGTGGGCATCGTGGGCTGGGTCTGGAGGTAATCGTCTCCCTCCCGCAGCTGGCTGTCAGCTCACATCTGTGAACCAGCTTCATTTTCACCGTCATTAACAATCCCAGGTCTGACAGGTAGGGAAAATCCCACGTAAAAACAACAACCCCGGGACCGAGCACAGCTCTAGCAGGAGCCCACCCCGCCCCTCACCACTTTGGGGTGGGCTGGGCTGAGCTGCACAGGTGCTGACCCGCCTCGAGCGCACGGCAGGGCCAAGAGGAGACACAGAGGCGGAAGGCACGCAGCACGCGGCGGCGAGTGGGGCACAGGGTCTAGCGTGGGCTGGGTGCCGCTGCGGGCGGCCCCCCACAGCCAGCCCCACGGACAGATGAGGAAAGGAGACGCACTGTGCAGGACACGCAGCCGGAACCAGACGCTCCTCTCTGACCTCTGGCTGGAGACCCTGGCTGCTGTCCGCCTCCCTGCTCCTCTGTGTGGGGCGAGGTGTGTGCCCACGGGGGTCCACCAGGGCCCATGGGTCTCTCCCCGGGCACTGGAGGAGGGTCCCGTGCCCCCCACCAGGTCACACAGGCACTCCAGCGGGTCACAAGGACAGATGCCAGCCTTATCCCTTGACATCTCCCCAGCACTCGGGCACACCACTTGGTCCCCTGAACTTCCAGGAGCATGACGATAAACGGCAGTAAGCAGGGTGGACACGCCCGCTGTGGACCAGGAGGGCGCCGGGCCGGGCGTGCACAGTGTGACAGGTCCCACAGGTCACCCTGGGCTCTGCCCCCGCTTCATCGGCCCAGACCCTGGGCAGTGTTAAGCGCTCAGGCCCCAGGGGAGCCTGCCCTCCCTTCTACCTCTAGGGGGCTGGTGCACATGCTGGACAGCAGGCCCCCCGTCACAGTCCTGGGAAGTCTGTCCTTAGCGCCCACCACCCAGAGACCCTCCTACCGCAGGGTGGCAGTCACAGGTCTCAGGGCTTCTCTGCTGCTGTGCTTGGCCTGGTTTGGGCTGCTGGGGGCCTGGGTGAGCCTGGCCCCACAGACAGCAGGGACCTTGGCTGGAGCCCGAGGTGGCTCGGAGCCCGGGTCTCTCCCCAGGGCACCTGCGCTCACGTGGTTGCTGACACCTGGAAAGAGTTCACATAAGGTTCAGGGGGGATGATGCACCGTCCCAGGGCGGCCAGCCCCCTCCTGGGAGACGGGGGCCCTCTGCCAGGCCGGGACCGCGGCACCACCGGCTCAGCCCTGGCAGCAGAGGGGTGGAGGCCCGGCGCGTGCAGGGTTAAGCGCTGATTATAGCTTTGTCTCTGCGTCGGGTGCATAATGTGCTCATTTGCATACTGCAGTGTGCGCTCAATTAAAATGAACTTTTAATTTCTTCTAAGTAAATTACTTCTTGCCAGTACGTGACGCGCACAAATGTCAGAATAATGGGAGAGCCTTAATGAGCTGGGGAGTGGAGCGGGGTGGGGGGCCGCTGGGAATAACCCCAGGAACACGCATGTCCACACGCTGCACGGCAGGCACACGGATGGACGCACAGACCCGTGGCCCACCCAGGACACTCCCCCTCCACGCACAGGCCCGGGGCAGGTGCGGCACACAGCCCCACTCCCTGCGTGCCTCCAAGCGTCAGCACACCCACTCACACACACGAGATGCACACAGACGCAGATCCAACCTCCCTTCCTCGGGCTTATTTAGGTTACGAAGAAGGAAGTAAATGTGGAGCAGTTGAAACAAAGAAACAGAATCCAGAGGCTGTTCTGCCCGAGGGGTGTGGGGAAGGGAGCGTTGGGCTGCTCTGGGGGCAAGTGCAGGGGCAGTGTGGGGGCAGTCCCATGGCTGTTGCCCCAGAGACAGACATCGCCCCCGACCGGCCCAAGCCCGGCTGTCCGCAGCCTGAGCCCCGATCTCCACCATCCCTCCTCCCTGCATCTCCCCCACGGGACAGCCGGAGAAGTGTGCTCGAGAAGGGATGTGCTGCCCTGGGCAGACACAGGGACGGGTCGGGCTGTCCCCAAAGCCTGTGTCTTTTTGCCTTCTCACCCTTCAGGAGTCCAGACTGGAGAATGTTAGGGAGCAACAGCCTTCCACTGGCCCTGCAGAGAGGCGTCAGGGACAGGAAGCTGACACCCCCTCCCCAACTCTGTGGCCCAGCTCAGATGGCTTCAGCACCTTGGAGAGGGCTCAGCTTCATCAGGGTCTCCGGAGAGGCTCTGGCCTGGGACCGGAGTCCCGCACAAGTCCTGTCCTGTCCAGAGGAGGCAGCAGCCGCACGGCGCTGGGCCCACACGGACGTGCCGTCAAGCGATGGCTCCAGTCCTGAGGGGCCGAATGGCCACCCAGCTGTCTCCTCTGAACCTGCCTGGGCTGGGGGCTCCCTGCCACCCAGTGACTGTGACCAGTGGCCATGCCGCGGAGCCAAGCAGGAGCCTCTGCCAGACACGTGCAGAATGGCCACTGGGATGCCCTGCGGGCGAGCACCCCACCGACTGCAATGCTTGAGTCTTGGAGTGAACACCCTTCTCAGGTCCTGGGAGGGTCAAGGAAAGATGGAGACGCGGATAATGAGTCTCAGAACATGCGGACAGGGCTCCCCAAGAGGATGCAGCCAACCAGCAGACTGTGGGCACCCGCCCAGCCCTGCAGTAGCTCGCGCAGTGTTTGAAGAGGCTTGTGGTCCTGCAGGGAGGGGCACAGACAGCACTGACAATTTGGGACAAATGTCTACCCTTTAGTGGGTGGTCAGGAAGGGCTTCCTGGAGGAGGAAGGCCTGAGCGTGATGCATCAGGATGAGGACTCATCAGGGGAACGCAGGGGTCACGATGGGCCGGGCCAGTGGAGGGCTCGTGTCCAGGCGTGTTGGACGCTGCGGTGGGAGGGGCGAGAAGGAGCTCCCGGCAGGCTGGAACAGCTCACGAAGGGCGCGGGGCACACTCCTGAGCTCCTGAAAGGGACATGCTGGAAATGACCTGGCTTTAAGATGACAGGAAGGCCCAGCGGCCGTGGGGGGTGGAGTCAGAGGCCCTGGGGGTCCGAGGCTCCGGTCCGAGCCTCCAAGCTGGCTGTGGGTGATTCCTCTGGACTTGGGGATATACTGAGAGGGTGGTGGTGCTGTATTAACAATAACTTGTCCTTGTTCACAGGTGGAGGGAGGCCAAGGTGGCAGCTAGTGGGAGGGCAGGGGCCTCCAGGGACACCTTCTCCTCCTCTGACGTACCCAGGGCACCCAGGGTACAGATGGAAGGCCCCGCCCAGCCCAGCCTGGTAGAGGGCAGGATGGGGGAGGGGGGAGGTCCGGCCAAGAGGGTGGGGGAGGGCCAGGCTGCCAGCACCAGCGTGGTGCAGTTGGACATGATGTCTCTGCCGCGCAGTCTCCAGAAAGGAGGCAGCATCCTGGTGTCAGAGGTCCCGGCAACGGCCGACGTGACGGAGGGAAACCAGAAACGCACAACGGACAGGAGAGGGACGGAGAGGGAACAGAGCTGGGAGGCTCAGTGACAGGCCTGCCCGATGCCTACTTGCTCCCCCTCCTCTGTCCGGGACCCCCGCTGGGCATTCACCCTCAGCGCACCCAGGACCAGCCAAAAGGTGACAACGCACCGTCACCAAGCCTGCACCGCGCGGCTTCCCTGCCTTTGCTCCCGCGGTCCTCGCACCTGCTCCCATCCCCCACCCCGGCTGACAGACCGAACCCCTGGACCAGCTGCACCGCTGCTGCCCGGAGCTGGGCCCCCCACCAGCAGAGAGTAGTTCTCTCTTCTAATCTGCCACAAAGTGATGTGACCGGGCTGCCCACCCTCCCCTTCTGCAGTGCGGGTGCGGGGACACCCGCAGGGCCCAGCGGTGCGTGCGCCTACCCTAAGCGGAGGGCAGCAGTGTCCTCCGCGGGGGAGAGGCATTCTCCTCCCTCAAGCGGCTGTGCCTTTAAGAGGACGCATCCCACCCTCGGCCCCCTTCCCCCATTTTTCATGCCAGTCTCTTCCCCTGGATAGGTTCTGACAATTACCACTTCCCTGGCAGCTGGGCTGTGTGTGCATGTGTGTGTGTCTATCTGTGCACACGAGGCGACTGGAGCCCAGCGCTGAAATTTACATTGAACCACAAATTAATTTCATAATTTTTTCCTCTCTAATTATGCCAACATCTGCTGCAAAGCCAAGCTGTGCACATGCATTTTAATATCTTCTCCCCCTTCCCCCTCCTCATAGCATCACTGTCTGTCTCTGCACTGAACTTTTCAATAATTCTCACCAAGAGAAGATCTCCACCCGCATTTCTCCTGTCTTTCGAGATGGGAAGAGACAGGAGAGAGAGGCATGAGGAGGGACAGAGAGAGGTGGGGGGACCACGGAGGAAAGAGGTACAGACAGAGAGGGCAGGGGGAAGACAGAGAGAGGTCCGTGCACCACAGTCTCTGAGCAGTGGGGTGGGGCTGGAGGGCGGCCGATGGTGACTTCTGCAGGGGTGGGGACAGAGAAAGGGGGAGCTGCACACCTGCAGCCAGGGGTGTGCCACGGGGGCCGCAAAGGACTCCGCCAGCCCCTCTCTTACTGACAAGCCACACGGCTCCGTCTCCCAAAAACCAAGAGGCAAAGTACAGTCAAACCAAAGTGGTTTTCTGTCTCCTGCCAGCAGGGGCAGAGCCACATGAGGCTAGAGGGACACACCGGCTCCCACCAACTTTCCTGAGAGGCCAGTCCACCCCCAGGCAGGGTGCATTCGGCCCAGCACCTTCACTGTGAGATGTCCTGCCTGGGTCCCCAACAGGAGGGTGGCCTGACCCATGTATGGGGGCACCCACACCTTCCAGAGGCTTTCTATGCCCACACCAGGCTGGCTGAGGCCCCTCCAGGCTTGTGCCTCACACAGGGTCCCTGGGCGGACATACCTTACTTATTCCCTCATTTTGCCCCATTCACCCCCGTCTCAGAGCTTTGTGAGGGGCAAGGCTTTTTTTTTTTAAATGTCTTACAGAGAGAGAGAGAGAGACAGAGACAGAGACTCTTAAGCGGAGAGACAGAGAGAGACAGAATGAGGGAGTTGTAAGCAGGTTCTTTGCTCAGCACAGAGCCCAATGGGGGCTCAATCCCATGACCCTGGGATCGTGACCTGAGTTGAAATCAAGAGTTGGATGCTTGGGGCGCCTGAGTGGCTCATTCGGTTAAGCATCCAATTTCGGCTCAGGTCATGATCTCGCAGTTTGTGGGTTCGAGCCCCGCGTCAGGCTCTGTGCTGACAGCTGGGAGGCTGGAGCCTGCTTTGGATTCTGTGTCTCCCTCTCTCTCTGCCCCTCCCCTGCTCACACTCGGTCTCTCTCTCAAAAATAAGTAAACATTAAAAAAAAAAAAAAAAGAGTTGGATTCGTAATCGACTGAGTCACCCAGGCATCTTGAGGACAAGACATTATCTGTAGCCCCCGAGCCTCACACATGGTTGATGTTGTGATTTCAGTTAAATAACGAGTAAATGAATGACATAATTGAAGTGCATCACCAAACTTCCCTCATACAGAACACAAAGGGGCTGATCTCTTGTGGCCCAGTGTGCTCACCCTCACTGTTTTCAACGTTCACCCCTCCCCAGCCTGAGAGGTGGGCGGTAAGCAGAGAGCAGTCCCTCCGCATCCGCAGCAGTTAAAACAGAACTATGTTTATCGAAGCTACAACACACCAGGTACCACGAAGGCTTTCACAGAGCACAGTGCGGAGCCCCTGATCGTCCATTCGCTTACTGTCCAGAGAGACCATCCCCGAGAAAGTGACGAGGCTCCGGGGGGGAAAGCTCCCCGCCCCAGCTTCCTGCCTGGAGCCATCCCCAAACCAGCACAGGAAAGAGAGCCCCGACACGGAGCAGAGGAGCCGGGACACGGAGCAGCAGTCTCAGAAGGTGGAAGAAACACAGGGTCGTGTCGGGCCGCTGAGGGGTCTAGGAGCACAAAGGAGGACGTGGCACAAAGAGGGAGGCCTGGAAACCCGCACACCCCTTCTCTGAGCCGTTGCACAGGAAGCCGCATCCACGAAGGGTGGGACTTGACAAGACCTGGCACGGAACCACTAAGGGCTGCGAGTTGACGGGAGTCTGGAGCTGGCACAGTGCCGGGTCCGGTGCTGGGAGACACTGCAGTCCAGACAGCTGGAGGCACAGACCACACCAGACACCCCGCACGGCACGTCTCGGAAGCAGAACCGTCCTGGACCTGCTTGAGGTCCCGCCCTAACAAAGCCCAACCCGAGCTTGGACAGATTGAGCTGCCGGAGCACAACTTAATGGTCTTTCAGGAACACAACGTGTCGTAGGCCACCGACCATACAGGATCACGATGTCCAGCATACAGTCCAAAACTATTAGAAATGCGAAGAAGCAGAAATATTAAACCAGAAAA